TTCTGATCCCCTTGGATTTTTCAATCTGACAATCGGCTTTGATTCGTTTTCATGTATTTTGCTAGTTAACTTTTCTGTAATAGATGCGACTTTGCTCCATTACAGATCCTTCTTTGAGTTTTTGGTTCAACTGCTTGATACTTTTTGTCAAATTCAGTAAACTTTGCCTCTACAGACAATAGATACCCTTTTTCACTACCTTTGTTTGGCGTGCTAGTAATTGCTCCCTGTTCCATTTCGGAACCTTTTCTTTTTTTTTTATTAACTACATTCCCGTGTATGATTTCATGAATTTTCTTTTCGATTTCTTTTATATTCCAATCTGAAGTCTCGATTTTTCCTATTGCCCGGAGCAAATCTTTAGGTTTTTTCTCAACATAAACAGGTTCTGTCCATTTCTGTTCAATTTCTTTTATCCTAGCAGCAAAATCTTCATCCGTTCCACCTCGTGTTTGTGTTGGAAGTTGACTATCTTTATCCTAAGTGCAATTTTGTAATAAAAAACAACTGCATGTTATGCGTATAAAATTTAATGGTTTAAGAAAACTCCGAAGAAAGTCAAACGGATATATATTTGACTTAAATATACATATACAGGGTTACTGATTTAACCTGTTCACTAGAAATTTATATGGTAGAAAAGAAATACCGATTGAAACTCGATATACTCCTACATTGGCGTAGTCAAACAGGTACTTAAAAATATTTTCATTAATGAGATGTCTATAAGTTGCAGAAGTATGCCAAGTTTCAAATAGACATCTTCTTTTGTTTCCTATACATTTCTAAATTAAAGGCTTGAAGCATTTGCACTGTATGGCATATTTAAGACATTGTTAGCTGTAATTTTGCACTCACGTTAAGGAAAGTTGTTAGGAAAATAATAATAGGCAATATTGGAAAAAAGGAAAACATCTGCGCAATTTATAATCTTCATAATTAGTATAGGTACATTAGTAATCTTACCAAATCTGATATTAGGTATATGTATATTACCTAACGCAATAAACCGATTCGTTTTAAATGTAAATTCAGATATTACCGTTGGTTTAATGGTTGTTATTGTTAGCATACATTTCAAAAATTGCAAGAACAAAATAAATTACAGTAGCAGTTAATTTTTAATGCATAATTGAACATAATACATATACGGCAATTAGTTTCATGCGATTTAAAATAAATAAGACACGCTACACAAAATATCATCTTACTGGTAAGGATGAGAATTTTTTTTCTAAATCCTTTACTCTATCTTCAAAATTGGGAGCGTTTTGTCGATACAAAAATATAGAATAATCCTCAAAAGGTTGAGGTGAGTGCACCGTAGCTTGCATCATTTGCATACTTTTTAAGAATTGTTCCGTTTGAAGTTTTCTTTGCTGTCGACGTTTACTTTGGCGATCTGCTCGATTTGCTGCTATTTCTTCAATACGTTTCTGTCTTTCTACCTTTAGTTTAAATATTTATTTTAATTAAGGCATTAATTTTTTTACTAGGAATTTACACAAAAATAGACTATTTACTTTAAGTAGTATTATTATTTCTTTTTTATCATATTTTTTTGATATCTTCAAAATCGATTTTGTGGGATCAATATTTATAAGTATGTAGTGATTATTTGTTTTAATTCATATCTATTCAATTTTCCTAACAAANCTATTTTCTTTTTTAATTTTACGGTTTAATTGCAATTTAATAACCAGCATGGCTATTATTAAACTTAAGCGATTGCTTTTGCGGCGGTGGAAAACATGACAGACAAATGCAAGTTAATATGTATGTATAATGTTATAAGGCGTAAAACATTCACGTTGTCCGCAATGGAACAGGTTATTTCATTAAAATGCATTTGGCAGGAATTAAAAACGATTAATGACATCAAACCAACAAAATTGACCATCACGCACGCAGCCATTATAATTACCTTTTTTTACCATTGCTTTAACGTGACTGTGGCCCAGCTACCGAATCGTCTTGATTATCAGTTTAATAGGACTTTAATGTTTTGTTATAGATTATTTTATTTTTTAATTTTTAATGCTCCAATATTATGTAACAATGTTTTATTTATTTATTACTTTTATTGTCCAGCTTAAAAAAAAACCGAAACGTACGTTTTAAAACACGAATGCAGTTATTTAAACAAGTACATTTTGTATTAACACAGCGGAAAAATTGTAACTGATAAATTATTTAAAAATCAACGCTGTATAAAATTTTAAAGGAAAATAACATTCATAATTCACTCATCTTAACAACAGTCTTTAATGACTAGATATTAATTAAAAACGGAAATGTTAATAAAAAATGAAACCTCATATTTTTTACTGTACCGTACAATCTTTTGGATTGTTAGTTTCGGCACCTTTTTCAGACCTTGATTCTATTGAGGGTGATCTTTGAGATTTAGGAAGCGAACAATTTTTCGTTTTTTGTTTCTCTATGAATATTGGTTTGAGATTAAACGTAGAATTGCGCTTTTCACGCACTTGCTCGTGAGATTTGTCTGATGCCAAAGACAACGATGAGGTTGAGTTTTTTCTTCTAGGAAGAGGAGATACACTCACTGCTTTTCTGCGTGGTGGAGCTACTGGTTGCAAAATATTGTTTTCTTTATCAATACATTTTTGTTCAATAGAACGTTTTCCAATTGGTACAACTAAATCAGGTTGTGTTTGATTGTTAATCTTTTGCTCTAATGGTTTCACAATATTTTCAAGTTTTCCAGATTGAATCATTTCTGCTTTTATTTCTTTTGGTTTCGTTAATTTTTGGCCCTGTTTCTTGGTTTCAACAGATTTTTGACGAGTAGGTCGTAAAGGAACCTGTACTTCATTTTCATAAGGAACTAATTCACCATCTTCGTGTTTTACAATTTTGGAATACATCTTGTCAATATTAGCTACAACATCACTGATATCTTCTACGTCGTATTCTTTATTGAAACTCATACTTAATGGATATTTTGGTATTTTACTTGGTAGTGTTGTCTCCTTTTTGGCATCAACACATTTTACATCAGAGGATTTCTGAAGTTTTTCGCTTAGTGAATTTACATTTTCCAAAAGATTTTTCATTCTATCCTTTAAATATTTATCGTTACTATTTTGGTTATTTTCTTCGACGTTGCTTCTCACATCTTTGCGAGAATTAGCTACAGTATCATCAAAAATTTCATCAACTATATTGTTGGGTAGTTCTACAGTTCGACTAAGTTCATCAAAAGCTTTGTCAATAGATTTTTTGTTACTATTGCTACTATCACAGTCTTTGTTAGTGCATTTCGATGTAGTTGGCGAAGTATCTTTAGGAGAGTTGTAATATGTAGTAGTAATATTTGAAGTAACACAAACAAACATATTATTGTCGTCGCTACTTTTTGCATCGTTCTGAGATTCAGTTGTTTCTGACTTGCTCTTTTTATTATTAGAAGGAATTGATTTATTCAACTGGTCTAAATTTGATTTACCACCATAAAAAACACTTTTTGCTAAGGGTTTTTCATCTACATCTTTTTTCAAATTAAATGATCCAAGTGATTTCTGTTTACCCAATGCCTTTAATGAAAATCTATTTGGTTTTTTTACGACCTCACCGTCTGCATTTTCGAACTTTGCTAAAACTTTTTTAACGTTAACTTTTGTGACAGGACCTAGCTGAATATTATTTCGTGATTTACTATCGTAAACCTCGGTCTTTGAACGAGATAATCCGAAGTTGCCTCTGACAGGTTCTATATCGTCATTTTGATTTGCATCTGATTTACCAGCCATAACTTTTTCAAAGAACGATACATTACCTTTTGGAAGCTTGCTAATAATTGAATCACGTTTCTGGATTTTCAAAGTTTTCTCTAAATTTCTATATTTAGTATCACTTTCAGATCTGCGAACCTTCTCTTTCGGTTGATGTTCTAAATCGTCAATCCATAACAGAAGGTCATCGATTTTCTCATCAGGAGTTACTGCCACCACTTCACTTTCTTCTATTTTCGTTTCAGTTTCCAAAGCTTTTAATAAATCTTCAATACTACTTGTAATGTCCTCTTCACTTTTCGGTTTTTGTACTAATTTAAATTTATTTGGATCAACTGGCTTCAAAAGCTCTTCCTCATTTGCTAAAAGGTCCTCAATATATTTATCTACATCATTCAGATCATCTTCTTTGGGTTCAAAATTAAATGTCATATCTTTTTCTGCCATCATTTTTTCTAATGAAGGTGTTTCTGGTAAACTTTTTTGTTTAACCAACATGGGACCGCTTGAAAGAACCGATTTAGCTGTGGCGCACCGCCGCAAAATTGATTTTGGAGGTTCAGATTTTTGAGGTTTACTTGTCTCACCAAAATATTTATTTACTTCAAAATTAATTTTAACCGCGACTTTTGGCTTTCCTGGCTCTGGCGGAAGATTAATCTTACTTGGAGTACGCTTAATAATTAGAAGTGGCTGGGGTTCAGACTGTTGAAATTTTGGTACAAACTCTTTATTAAAACTAGATCGCTTTTCTTTAGGAGGAAGCACAAAATTCCGTTTAACGGGAGTGGGTGACAGGGATGAAACAGTTGCACTTTTTGATAAAGGTACATTTAGCGAAGGAATCTGGGTCGTTTTAATGGATGAAGAACGTTCAGATTTAGAAGAAGTACTAGATTTACTTGAAGAAGATGGTCTTCTATTGTTATTATTATTGGAAGTATCGCAATTACTTTTAGAATCTTTAGAAACTGATTTTGTAGATTTGGATTTTTTTATTTTAGTTTTAGGCATTGCTGTGTCGCTTTTTTCACATATTATATCAGAATCAGCTGTATTATAGTCTCCCGAATTTACGGATAAATTATCAAGGGACTTTTTAAAGTTTTGCGTATTGTCTCCATTGACACCATTATGCTTATCAGGTGACGTAATTAGAATGTCTGGCAAGTCGGACTTTAGTTTATGAAATTCAGATGATTCGACAGGATTATCACAACTAGTTTGTAAAGCGGAAGACTTCACCTCAGTTTCGGAGCCGGTATCTGTTTGAACGACAGGTGGCTCCAAACAAACTTCTTGTTTTCGAAGTTGCCGTGCAAGGATTTCTTCTTCACCTTCAGTTGCAGTGTCATCATCTTCATCTGCAATAAAAAAGACATATACATAAAATGAAGAAATATTATTCAAAAATTATTTAAAAAACTAACCTCCACTACTATTTTCATAATAACTGGAGTGTTCTGAACTGCTGCTGTATTCATCGTCGTCCACTGAATCTTCATCACCTCTGTCGCGAGAATATCTTTGAAGGCAACGCTCTACCCATCGTAAAGTACCTTCTTTGGTAGCTGGTTCTTCTAAAGCTTCCTCATAAACATCCTCGTTATCGGATTCAGAATCACTAAAAAATACATTTAAGTTGTAACAAAAGCAGGATACATTTTTTATTACAGTGTTAACTCTTTGTAACAAAACTCCAAGGACTGAGTATTTTTCCTTCGTTATGTAGAGAATACATAAAGCAATTTGACATTACAAATTGAATTAATGCTTGCAAAACTATAAAGATGTACTAAATCCCAAACGACTCCCAATATCAGTTTCTCTCTTTCCTTTCTATTGCCCGTGTGCTATGGAACACTTTTCGTCCACACACTACGAAGAATGTCCTTATCGTTGTAATCAAGCTGAAGTAGTGATACGTCACAGAAAGTTTTTTGTTATACAGAGTTTACACTGCATTTGCATGTGCCATGACGACAAAACAGGGCCATTTATTTCGATAACAAATACAACATAGTAAATTGAAGACCGTGGTAAGGAACAAACATAATAATACAAAGATACTCATTAACATTTTCAATGTGACAAGCGGAGGGAGTCTTAATTGTATTTTATTTTTTTTCCCTTTAATTGTTAAGAACTAAAATAAAAAAGGGTCTTCATTTAGCAACTGAAGACATTGACAACTGAAAATACCGAAATTGATGCGCGGTCGTTCACTGCGCAGGGTACGAATGCCTTTTCTAATTCTTTATGATGATGCTTTTTAAATGCATTTGCTTCGGAAAAAGTTATTGCTCCTGTCGCTAGTCTTCTTGCTATCAACTAATATCCTTAAAATTTAAATGACCTCGCGTGTTCCCCTACTTCTTCTATTTGTTTTGATTATATAAATATATAAATAAATAAAAACATTTCACGTGATAATTTAAATCACCGTGATAACTTTGCTTTAATTTATGAACCGTTTGTGTAAAATAAAATAGAAATGTAGTTTATGAGCAAGTATGTCAGTATAATAATGTAATTATGTTTTAAATAAACTAATAACAATAATAAAAGGAAGATTAAAGTTATCTTTTATTGAATTTGCGAGGGTAATTCAGCTTATAATAAATATAATTCGGAATATTATCTCTCCTACGGCTATACAGTGGTATTATATGTACTCCTTATAGGAGTAGTATAAGATCGCATTTACTGAAATGCTTAGTATATTTGCGTTGTATATAATTCACAACTGCTTTCCAGTAGATAAATGTAATTGTTAAAGAAGTTGTACTCCTAAACTATATTTTACGTTTATATAACATAACAATATACAAACAGAAAAAAAAAACAAGGTATGATACAAAAATAAATTCAACGCAATAATAACTTACATACTACATAAACTGTTGGTTCGCCATAATATTCGTCTAAGCAACCTTTGCAAAGTCCGCTTATGTAAACCTCTGAAAATATTCAGTAATTTTGTAATGTAAAAATAACATTATTTTTTGTTTCAATTGCAGGTATCGTTAATATGAGATGTTACACACAGTTAATTTATGCAGAGTAATGTTCAAATTAATTAACATATAGATCATAAATAAACCAAACTCAAATAATCTACGTTATAGAGAGTTTTCTTTCTAGAGAGTTTGCCCTGTATTTTAAAAATTTTCAACGGAATGTGTTTTTGTAAGCAAATTGTAATTTACTTTCATTCAAAATACATATATCAAGTACTAAAGACATACTAATAAAGAAATAGAAGCGAATACATAACGAGTTACTATTATTTTCCTAAGTGTACATTAAAATATTTGCGGAATGATTGGTTAATATGACTTTAAAGATAGTGGATTAGATTTCCGCTGCATCCTCGATGAATTGAATTTCAATTGAAGGCTATGACTAAAGGTTCTGATTTCTATTTCAATTTAGTTTTAAAGTGTGTAACTGAACTCAACGTTATAAGATAATAAAAGCAGTCGGTTAAGGAATACTACTAAGCAGTGGACTTTAGAATAGCTAATTGGACCTGGTATACTCCTAACGAGTTGATTATATACGATTACTATTCAACAGTTTAAATATCTTAGAACTAAACTAAAATCTACTTTTGCAAGTAACATTAAAAATGAGAAAAAGAAGAAGGGAAATAAATATAGAATAACACACAAAATTATCCAAAAATAAAACTTGATATGCGTATTCAGTACAAAACTGAGTATGAAAAACGTAAACAATGAAGACCTGTATGAAAAAGAAAATTGGAAGATTGGCGTAAGTTACTGCAAAATTTGATATATTAAAAAAAATAAAAAAATGATTACCTTTCACTGGATGACGATTCATCTTCACTTATTTCTGCTGCAGAAGCTCCGAAATTCCTATCCGTCCATTCATCTTCATCCATTTGACTAAACGATTCTTCATGATCAGAAGACAAATGACCGGTAGATAAGTTTGCAAATTCGACTCTTTCTGGTGTTTTAACTATGTAAACAAACAACAATAATTAAGTAAAAACAATAAAAAACGATATAAATTTATTACCTCTATCTAGCAAATCGACTCCTAACACTCCACTTGTTGGCATTTGCAACTTTTCAAGTTGTGGCGCATTATCCCTAACAATTTTTTGCGAGGCCTTTCGTCCGATTTTGGTGGAATAGAGTTCCCCGGGCATTCCAAAATGTTGTGAGCAATAGAATCTATTACCGTACCTACCATCCTTATCAAATAAATATGATCCTAAGCGAAGACTTGTGTGACAATATTGACACCTGTAAATTTCTCAAAGAAGCATCTACGATTGACTGTTAATTTATTAATTACCTAAAACAGCCCCTATGGAAAAATTTACCTTCGGCAGATAACCTTTCCATTAAATAAACACGTTTTTGACAGAAGTGGCAATATTCTGAACCTCCTTGGGTAGGAATTGCAGGTTTTGAATTCTAAAGCGAATACATCCCTACTATATTGTCTTTCGAATAGTAAATATTTTTAAAACTTACAGTTCTGACAATCGGCTTTGATTCGTTTTCAGGGATTTTGCTAGTTAACTTTTCTGTAATAGATGCGACTTTGTTTTGTCCTAGTTCTCTTACAGATCCTTCTTTGAGTTTTTGATCCAACTGCTTGATACTTTTGTCAAATTCAGTAAACCTTGCTGAGAAATCAAACAAATAAAAATACTGTTGAAATAATTTCTTATTTATATACCTTCTACACTTTCTTGTCTACCAATAATACCCTTTTTCTCCATCTTTGTTTGGCGTGCTAAGAATTGCTCCCTGTTCCATTTCGGAACCTTTTCTTTTTCTTTATTAACTACCTNTGCAATACACCATCTTTGCAGTATAAAATCAGTAAAGATTACTTTTCTAACACGATGATGTGCCAAATGTTATATTCAATCAAGTACATATGAGAAACTAATGTTAGTGTGTTGAGAATCGACTTTTATACAATTTTATTGGAACTTATTAGTATTATCAATGTTTCATTTTTGTTCATTTTCAAAAATGATGAACTACTCTTTGATACCACGATTAGAAACAGTGAAGTAGAAAGTGCTCGAAATCTAAACATGTCATACGGGTTTGCAATTTTGGACGCTTATTTTTCAAGTTATTATTTATGATTTCTTTATTAATGCTATTTCTGGGTAGTTCACAAATACATCATCCATTTTTAAACTCATTTACTATCTCTCTCTCTTCCTCTGTATCAATCACATTTTAATAACCAATATAAATATTGACATCCACTTTACTCCCTCACCCCCCATTGACACTAAACATCTAATATCCAGCTACAATTATGATATACATATTTTTAGTTAACTTTTGTATTGCGGTTGACAATATTTTATAAGAGACCTGTTCGCTCAGTAGAGTTTGGTGCTTTCTCATTTTGTTTAATTATTTATTTCTTCTCAAGAAAAAATCTATTTACCAATTACAATTTATATTAAATCAATAGTAGGTATTCAGTTAAATTTGAACAAACCAGTTGAAATTAACCAACAGTTAAATAAAAACAATAATGATCTTACATAATGACAAATTTGTTTGTTTTTGCATGCTTAGCGTAATTTAACAAAAGAAATAGTGACGTTATATTTTAAGTAATCCCCTATTTTGTTCCTTTAGCTTTTCTCGTTCTTCAAATGCATATGTATTTTATGGACAGTCCCTTTGCAAAAATAACATTAAAAATATAATTCATTTTTATTAATACAACTCTATTGTTTAAATTGATTTATAAAAGGAACTTTAGACGATTAAGATCTTGTATTTCTATAACAATGATGTTAAATACAAAATAATGTATGAATGATATACCAGGTAGTTTTTCATATAGATGCATACGAATGAAATAGTCTCTACCAAATTTCTCCCTTAACGATTACTGCAACTTCTTAATGGTGTCATAATTAATAAGCAAGTCCAATAAAGTTAAAATAATACAAACTAATGCTGACTCTAGCAGTTTCTGTAACAAAACTTCTTTACTAAGAAGTTTTCCAAAAGTGTCCTACAAATGAAGGTAGGATAAATAAGGGAATGAAAGGTTGACCAAAATATGCTTTCTAATGGTTTAAATTTAGGATTTTAAACCATTAGAAAACACCAGGTATCAAAAATAAAACATGTTAGTTAAGTTAAATGGATATATATTATGTTAGTAATAATGGTAAAAACAAAAATATATGGAAACAAAAATTTAAATAAAACATGAGATGATGGTGTAAGAATAACGAATATGATATTTATTCAATCTTTAGTTGTAATAGTAGTCTGTCAGTTATAGTTAAGAAAACTGTACAGAAGTATTCGAATATGTACAAAATGAAATAGACACTCACCATGGTAGCGCCTATTTTCTCAAACGATTTCCGCTTTTTTGGTCTCTTTGAATCACTTGTTGATGTTTTGTTAGAGATTGTGTCAACATGTCTTTTGGACCTGCTAACAACAGGGAGAGCATGACTTGATTCTTTTGCTTGCTCAGCTTTGGGGAAGCTGAATTTGGAATAACTTTTTTGTGGAGTCCTATCACTAATCTTGATGTCTGGCAGTTCCTAATTAACAAAGTGCATTGATTCATTTTTGATGAAATTACAGCATCGTTCAATTTGTAAAATTGAATACTAAAAATAAACATGTATACCAATAAAATATTTCATAAAATTTGTATAAGTGTATTTAAAAGTTTATGTGAATGACAATTTCTGTTTTTATGTATAAATAAATGACAAAAATAAAAATAAACATAACATGATATCATTAATACTACGATTTGTTCAGTTGCATAATTAATAGGGACAAAAAAGGCTTAGCACAGTGAATTCCCATGGATAAAGGATAAGAGGTAAGACAATTATTGATATAGTATAGAAACAAATAACAATAATAGGACCACATACTATTTCCTCTCCCTCAAAAATTGTAGAAAATACTCTAGCAGGTTCAGACCTTGTCTTGTAATTATCATACACCTCTCCCAGATTTTGAGCAGGCATTTCTTTTGCCTCGATTTTTCCATTTTTAAGGCATTTGGTAACCTTTTCGATGCTTTCGTGAGTTGAAATATTGTCAGAAATTTCAACATTTGTAATTTTAACTTCACTAGTCCAAGGCTCTACTTTAATTTCACAATTTATGGAATCCTCTTGAATCGCATTTTTTCTCCTGTCCAAATTAATACGTTTAGTAATCGATGTAATTTCAGTAACATTATCTTTGGACAGATTTGTTTCAATTTGAAAAGGATCTTCTCGACAACTTTCATCATCTCGCAGAAAGCCAGATTTAAAATCGCTGGCACTTATCCAGTCTACAATTCTTTCATACGTATTTTCTGCAGCGGAAGACATTGTGTGCTGATCACTGTTATTCACGTCACATAAAAATTTAAATGTGTCCCTATCGACAAACGCATCACGCACCTTTCCACAGCTTTGACGTTTGTTGTCACTATACTTGTCAATATCTGTTACACAGTGCACTTGATCTCGATTGGCATCATTCTGTTCGATTTTCATGTTCCTCCACGAATACAAATCGTGGGTACTTCCCAAATTTTCCCATAATTCTTTCACTGTAATATCTTCGTTGGAAGCGGATCTCAAATTGCTCCAAAAGTTAATTCGAGAATATCCATCATTTAAAAGTAATGAACATGCGCTACTTTTAATACTACTTTCTTCCTTTACAGGTAAATTATTCCATACGGAGCTACTGCTATTATTTGCATTCCGTATGGAGCTACTGCTATTATTTGCAGTCTCATCATCACTGAAACCTTTACTTGGACTTTTGTTAGATAGAAATGAAGTGAAGCCAAACTTGCAAGGAATAGACAGTTTTATGTCTTCTTCTTTTCTTTCTTCTATACTTCTGAGAGGTGTCAGTATGAGCTGATTTTTGACAATGCATGAGCCTGATGGAGTAGCATTTAGATATTTCGAAACAAGAGAAGAAGTGTTAGGACGGGTAGGGAACAATTTAGGAATAAGGGACGTTTCAATGTAACTTTTATCCTAAAAACAGTTAAATTCAAAAATGGGAAAGAATATATACAATTTTAAAGTACATACCTTCTTCATATTAGAGAACTGTGCAAAAGGAAAAAATAATACTAAAACCGAAAATGTCAAGCCCGATATGAAGTTTTGTTGCATAAAACTAATGTCATTAGTATTCAAGTGAAGTTAGAGAAGTCTCTTAAAATTATAACAAGGAAGTTAATACAAAGCAACCACGTTAACAGCAATTTCGAAATTAGCACAAAATTTTTACCACATGACATTTCTAACTGAACGTCATGTTAACACCTGCACCATGGATTTTCTGTGATATATACTTAAGTATTTTTCTCATAGAAAATTGAGTTAAAATACGAATTCCTTTAAAAAATATTAGCGGTTAGTCAATTTACAATACCTGAAAAACAAAGAGTTAGTCAATTTGTTATTGATGAGATTTACCTACATCTGAGCACTGGCGTCAGTTACTAAACCATTTAGGCAATTTAATTTTTTGACAAAAGTCTAATAAAAATAATTGTATTTGACTTTAGTATAGTATAGGAAATTTTATTAATTCGAGCAGGGTTAGGTGCGGTGCTTAGCAGAAACATTTCGACTGTGTAGTCAAATGTGAAATAGAAAGAATGTGAAGAATGCTATTGCTTGTATCGAATTTGCATATATTTTTTCCAAATTTCGTTTCTTGGAATGTAAGAACTGTCGAACTTTTTGTACAATTCAATGTAGTTTAATACTCACCGAGACAATTTCGTTAATTATTCTAATAAGAGTGTTTTTTTCTATTTACTGATTTTCTTATAGGTACATTATTAGATTTTCATTCTCGTTCCCCAAACCGCATGGCATAGAATTATAAATGACAAACCTTTTACAATACAAAATTACACTACTTGTTTAGAATTTATTTATTTTATCTTTTGAATTAAACAATATACGTTTTAAAATTGGCTGTAGCTAAATTTTGATAGCAATATTACTACGGCATAAAAGAGAGCCAGAGATGCACACTATGTCTGATCCGTACTCCGGAATATTTAAAAGGTAACAGGAGGCACTGTAGAGTTTATATCGTGATAGAATCACAACGTAGGGGGTGTAAAAGGTATGGACAAAAAATACCCCAGTTAATGAGCCGTCAATGATTGATGCTGCGTTATCTTATCGCCTTTCGTTATCACAAGCGTCAACTGACGAAACACATATAACCTATTCGTGACCTTCGCAACAGTTGGTACGTAGATAAATCAATTGTACGTAATGATTAGTAATCTGCACTCGTTAGCGTTTCATTGGCAAATTTACTGTTATTAACACAAAATACAAAAATAAATCGAGTATAAAAATATCAACCAAAAACCAGTGTATTCACATGCAGAAAATGCGGAGATGGTGGTTATATATGAACGATTTAATGGGAATATACTGGCGATATCACGCGAATATGCATAATTGTCATCATTGCCGAAGCAGCTGGGGCTTTCGGTAAGGTCATTACTCATTCTATTTCCTTTTCATGTAACTTCTTCTCTTTTAATTTTTCTGGAGTACTGATCATACACAATGTATATATACATATATAAAATAAATGTACTATGTCTGATCAGTATTCCGTAGAGTGCATCTCGTGATACCGCAACAACGTAGGGGGTGTAAAAACTATACTCAAAAAGTAATGTTATCTTATCGCCCTTCGTCATTACTAGTGTCAAGTGACGAAACACATGTGCCTACTTGTGACCTTCGTAACAGATGGTATGCAGACAGGCCAACTGCACGTGATTGTATGTCCGCACTTCGTAGGCGCTTTTCATTTGGCAAAGTTTCTGCTGTTATCACAAAATACAAAAATAAGTTTATTTTACTTTAATTTTTGCGAAGTACTGATCATCAAGGAGTAACGGCCGAATCAATCCAATATTTATTTCATTCTTGTAGCCTTTACGTACGTAAATAATGCAAAAGTACGTATCACGTGATAAATTCTGCAGTGATATATATAAAACATTAGCAAATAACATTTACTTACCAACTTTGGATATTTGATGTGAGGAATTTCAACACGGAACGTATCGTAAATTTGTGTTAAATACGACAGCATGGTGAGGTAGTCCGGAATTTCGGCAATAGCCATCTCCTCTCCTGTTAAAATAGGGGGAATTCCTGTAGAAAAACACACATTAATCATCAATGTATTTTTAAAAAAGACTACTACCTACCTATTTCTTTTTCTAATAAATCAAAAGCTAGTTGATTGTTTTTATCGACGTCTTGAGCTTTAATTACACTATAATCTAAAAGATCAGGCCTGTAATGGTGTATTATTGCACAAAGAACACGTCCATCTTTGAACGAATTTGTGATGTCTTCTACTTCTAGATCATATTCGCGAACTTGCTCTTTAACCCAGTTGAGGAGAGTATTCGGATCCACGTTTGTATCTGCAATTACATTATTAACAATTATTTAAACAGTCATTTATAGGAATTTGTTTAAATGCTCTCATTATACATATAGAAGGGATGAATACGTCATTTCTGTTGATATTTTTAATTTAAAAAGACTGCTTTCATTGTATACTACCTAATATATGTATAGTGCAGTATTTTGATCTTATTGGTCGTTTCATGAAACACAGAAATTAATAAATCTTACGCTAAAAGGCCGATCGCTTTATACGTTCCATGAAACGTAGCGAATTACTTTAAGTGAATTTAAAATCCAAGTTTGCTGTTGATAAAATATAATATTTCATAAATGTATCGACTAAAAACATGCCAAACAGTTGAGTCAAAAAGCTTGAAATTTTGCAGAAATATTACTTACATAACGGTATCATCCACTATAAAATAAATAAAATAACTTTAAAATATAGCCGATTAAGGCACGAAACAGAGGTTTGCGATATAATCGAATTCCACGGGGAACAGCTAGTCTAATATGAAACCTTTGCATCTAAGAAAGTTGAAGCATCTATAATAACGAAATAATCGCCTTTATTTAAGTTCATATGAGTTGTTCTAGTTTTAGGGAAATGTGAAGATTAGCTCAGAATAGGGAAGACTGGAGCTGCGTGTCCAACCAGTCTTAGGACTGACGACCTTATGATGATGATAACATTAAGGTTAATCTTAGAAACGGCTGAACCGATTTTAATGAAACTTTACAAACAATAAATATATAAGGTTGTCAGGAGTGATCTAGGATATTTTATATTTGGTTGCAACAATTCTATATATTATAATCAGAAATTATTTCACGGACATGAAGTATTGAGTCAATGATAGTTACTACAGTGAATTTTATGCTTGGTTAAACGTTAAGAGAAAGTTGAGAGTCATTTATTTTATCGCATGGAATAATAACTGATTTATAAAATATGGAAATGCCAGAGAAACACTAAAAAGACGATTATACTTTTTTAAACTAAAGAAACGCCTTTACACGCTTCAACAAATCTNTTTTTAAATTTAATGAATAAAAATGAAACAATTTTTTTTTACTTTACTTTCATCTCGTAAACTTTTAGTAATAGCTATTACTTAAATAATTTAAAATATTAATTTTGCTAAAATAACATATAGCTGCTATTTACTTCGATTTTGTCTTGAGGGAATTAACGTGATTTTTTCTAATGAAAATGTGAAAAATGATTCTTAATTTGTAGAGGTACTGGAGTTATATTGCCATGTGCTACTTTATATACTTCTAAAATTTTCAGATTAGTTCCGGAGTTTAACTCCACACCATTTAAATCTGAAAAAAGTGTTAATTATTATTAATAAAAAACCAACAATTATTTATGAAACTGCAATCGAATCCTATTATGAAAGGACAATGACAATATTTTTGGTGGCTTTATAGTTTGTTATGAAATTCATGGTATGTAGATTGTTTAGGTTTGTAGATGGACACATATATCAGGGATGTAACCAAACAGGAATGTCTCCCCAAGTTTTGTTGTTGAGTACCTGAGTTGGCATTTTCGTGCCGAAATAGGCAAATTTATAGAATTCGACTTACTGTAGCTTCTACTTTTGACAGTGAATGACACTAAAAAGGTTTTGCCTGTTACAAGTACAATCAATCCTTGCAAAGTTAAAGTACTATTAAAGATTTGAAAATACGGCAAATAACCTTAAACCTGACGCTCATTCTAATTAAAATATTTGCAATTGTCGGTCACTTCCGGTTGTACCGGAAATCAACATCAATCAACTACGTTATTTTAAACGGAATGCTATATTTTTTGACATTTTTACATTCACCGAACCTTTTTAGATCGATTTTGATAGTACAGCTCTAACTGAAAAATTTCGAGATATTTCGATTTTTCTGAAAATTTTGAAAATTACATACCCATGCTGATAACGGACTATTCATCTAATTTGGAATAATTATGAATATTGGGTAATCAGCTATCTCGTATCTATCTCTATCTGGAATTGTACCGTCTTAAATGTGTTAAAAATTTACCGTCCAATGTATAAAATCTGTGCAGATTGATATAAATAACTGTAACATATATATACCCGTTTAAATAAATAAAAAACATACTAGAAAATTCGTTACACAGTATTTATTATTTCGTGTAATTGATTTGTAACTTTACCAAATTGTTACATCAAATAGTGATTACAATCTATATTTTTTCTAGCATTTGAGAATTGTAAGTTTTAATTTCCAGGTTATAACTTGAAACAAATACGTTGTTAAAGGAAAAGATGTTTCAACAAAACTGTTTATTCCTCGACAATTGTTTCGACCTCTAAAAGGTCATTTTCAAGAGTACAAAAAATGACCTTTTAGAGGTCGAAACAATTGTCGAGGAATAAACAGTTTTGTTAAAACATCTTTTCCTTTCTTTTCTTTTATTGAAAATGTTTCATCGAGAATACACCGTTGAAAGTTTAAATACGTTGTTAGTATCTTCCTATTTAACTGAATTTGCTTTTACTGAAGAAAAACAACAAATTGCAAAAAAAAAACAATAACCTTTTCTTTGGTAAACTGAAATGAGATCAGCGTCAACTCTACTTGTAAACGTTTATACCTTGCCAATGTCAGATGGCGTGAAGTGTTCTGATGTATAAAAAAAAGATTCTCATAAACTTACCTCTTCTCCTTCTTTTTCTGTGAACCTCAGGCTGTAGTTTATGTCGACCTTTTCCGAGATCTTCCGAAGACTCGATCATTCCCCCTGGGGGTCCGAGCATTTCATCGATAACAGCAGGGTTGTCGGAATCATAATGACAAACCACCTGACGAGGGACTAATAGATTTTTGTTCAAGTTTGGATATCTTGTTGTAGGATCAATCGTGTACGATTTGTAGTCTTTATTTAATTTGTCGGGAGTTGTTTGACCTAATAATCGATAAATTGATTCCCTTTCAGCGACAACTTCTAATGGATTCGAAATACCCGAGCCCCATGCTCTAATAGCCCAACAGGCATCCATGGATGAAAGAAAACCTCTAGCACAGCCCGAACCTGTCGGCCAAAACGGCTGCAAATTTTAATAGATCATCAATAGTCATAAAGAAGCGTAGAAATATTGTAAATTACACATGTTATATGCTAAGTACTAACCTCAAGTAAACTATCTCCTACGAGTTCCATCAACAGTCTGTATCCATTTCTTTCAACAACCCTTGAGGCATTTTCTGCTGCATAAATTGAGGTAAAATCGAACATAGCCACATCTGGTTCTCCATAGTAATTCACTGCGAATTGTAAATCGGGCAGTTGATAATTTGTACTGAAGTCGGCAGCCTCTCTAGCATAACTCATTAGCTTTTCTCTATTTACATTTTCAGGTGCAAGCAATTTAGCGGTATCCATAAAATCCTTAAATAAAAAAAAAACAAAAATAAATTTATAAATACTGAAATGCATAATTGTTTCCTTATTGATCCACACCTGCATTATTACACCCTTGTTTATGAGACTCTGCTTTCTAGCAGTCATAACGAAGTAATGAGTCTCGTCTTTGTAGTAGACGATATTCTCGAGATCAATTCCTGTTTCGGCTTTCAGATCCTTAAAAAACTTTTGATTGAATATATATGCCACACCGCTGATTTCTTGTACGCGTGCTTCTATTTCTGTTTTGTAGTTAATGAAATTTGCCGTTATTGCAATAGCCAGTTTACCTCGGAGCTCATTTCTTTGAAAACCTTGTAAAGTATTTCTTTTCCCATCAGCACCAATTATTACGTCAAATTCGTACTGGGATATAGGATGTTCGGAAGGTTTGAATTCTGCTCGCCAACCGATCTCTGTAACAGAAAATTTAAAATCCAGACACTACCAACGAATACAGTAACACTTACTGTCGCTGTCATTGGGTTCAACTAATTTTTCGAAGCTCACTTCGGTATGAACTTCGACGCCAAGAAGAAGCGCAACTTTTAACAAAATACATTGCAATTGTCTGATACTAATATGGTCGATAGCGCCTGCGCAAAATTTTCCGAAAAACTTTTTCGCTCCAAGACCTCGTAGGTCTTCGATTACGAAAGGCCACAAATGGAGGACGTTATTTCGCGACAGTCGATCACGCTTCTCTACAACTACCTATAATAAACAAAAAAAATCTGTTATAATAATATAATCAATTACATAAATTTATATATATGAAAGAAAGTCGTGTTAGTTAACTCAAGAACGGCTGAACCGATTTGGCTGAAAATTGGTGGGGAGGTAGATTATAACCAGGAGACGGACATAGGATACTTTTTATCCCGTTCCCGTGGGGGGATGAGTGGTGATGAGGAGTTGCAATGTTTAAATGAAACATATATTATTTGTTGTCAGATTTCTGAAAGACCTATCTCGACATTTTAAAAAATTCCAAAGGGCGGGGGTAAAAAGGTGTTGCAATTTTTGTTTGGGACATACTGTATTTGTGGTTGAATTTACTTGAAATTTGGTATATATGCTGTTTTTGATATTATTAATCTAATGAATAGAGGTTGCAACGTTTCCATGGGGTATATTTTATTTGTACTCGAATTTACTCGAAGGTTGCTCATTGTTGAAATTAAGCAAATACATGTTTTGGCAATTTTTAAAAATCAACCCTTAAGGATGAAATGTTGTTGCTACGTTTGTATTTGAAATCTAAGATGGCGACATTACATAAAATTAAAACGTTGTAAGAGTGAATTGGGAATTAAAAAGTTTTATGGAGAAACAATATTAATTTCTGAGAGCGAAGCAGCGGGGAAAAGCTAGTAATATAATATATCTGAGATGATGATTTAAAAAAAAAAACACTTACAACTTTAGCTCCTAATAGTTGAGCATCGATCGCTGTCCTAAGACCACAAGGCCCCGCACCAATAATAAGTACTCTAGTTCCAGGACAGATTTTACTTCCACCATAACATTTGTGATTGGCCCTGGCATCAAATTTTTTCCACAGTGCCTTTGCTTTCCAGGACGTCAAATAAGACTTCAGCTTTGGATAGAAAAGAGGTAGGATATTTGGCCTGAGATGTAACAAATCGCAAATGTGTCGGTAAGTGCCCAAAATTGTTTTGAGGGTGTTTGCGCGTATAAAATGTTCGAATGCATCGCAAGCAGTTGCAGCGTCTATAGTTGATACAGGTCTACCAATATGCTGTTGCTGTTGAGAAGCGTTGTGATGATTATTGTTAACAATGTGATGTGGATGGGAACGCGTTGAAGCTAAGCGACGATCCATATTGAGCAATCAGAAGGGATGTGGTAAATAACGCAGCAATTGTGAAGACTGAACATTTGGACAAATTCTCTGTAACAGAAAAAACAAATTTTAATTTACTATTTTTCACATTCAATTTCGATGTATTGTTATTCGGATTCGAAATAATAATGTACAAAATGATTTTGTGGCGGATCGACTTTGCAATGCAAAATTTGCATCATGAAAACTATTGAGAAGTTTAGCGATTCATTTGTAATTTTCGGTTGATTACTAAGGTATTTTTTATCGTTTATGACGTTAATTATATATCCCATTGTAAGTTTAAAAAATGTGATTTTCATTTTGATGGATATAGCTCGTAATGAAATTAGAAACATTAGAGATGTTTAATTATGGAAGACACGTAGACAGTCAGAAGCAGGCGAATAAATGATCAAATGAGGATTCCACTATTATTTTTAAGTTTGTTTATGCATTACAATAGTCCACGTAGTCTTACCATAATTTAAATTTGTGTAAAGAAATTTATGAAATTGTATGTGGTTACGACCAAAATAATACTTAAAAGAGCAGGTGAATCATGTGGTAGGTGGTTACTATTTTTCTGTTGTGGTTGTGCAATTCGCTATTAGTTATTTATTTCACTGATAGATGTGGTTCGATTTCTATAAGTAACTCAATTTATTTAACAAATGTTACTTTATTTCTTGTAAGGGCAGATTATATGTAAATAGTAAACAAAAATTCTTTATAAAGCGAAACCAAATATATTTCGAGAGGGCTGAATAAAAATGATCACTACATATACTTAGATATTGTAGCGACCACGAGCGTGATTGTGTGCGATCGGGCATACGTGTGTGTGAGCGGCTTATTGATTCGCCGACTAGCCGCGGGCGCTTTTCTTCATGTGCGCCGTATCTTTAAACGTGTGTGTCGTACCTGCGTTCCGAGAAGGCAATTAAACCGTTCAAAGAAAACGAGACTTCTCTGGACGGCTGGAGAACGTTCCCGAAAGGAGGCAAGGGAGTATAAAAAGGAAGAGACGATCGCCGAAGGAGAGTAGAAATAAATTGACCCTTGCAGAGGTCAATCAAGAGATAAATTGACAGTGATAGAAGTGAAATAAATAGAACAGTGAATAGTAACAGCAGTGTAAATAAATAGAATAATTACCTAAGTTTAGTAATAATTTAATAGTGTTTTTAAGTTTAATAGTAATTAGTGTAAATAAATAGTTTTTGTCATTGTGAATCTTAAAATTTAATTTGTTAAACCCACGAACATTGCAATATAATAAATTAATGGTCCACACGAAAACGTAATGTGGTACCTAAGTAAATAAAATTTGTTAAGATGAGAATTCATTTACAATATTGAAAACTTGATTAAGAATCAATTGCCAATTTGAAATTTTAGATGAAAACAACAAATATTGTTTCAAGAGCTTTATTATTGTACAGACTACAATATTGTCTCACCACCTGTGGCATGGTCCAATAATAGTAATAATCATAAAGCTCTTGAAACCATATTTTCTAAATGTATGGATAAGTTTCAACGATTGCAAGTTTTCACCATAAATATTTTAAATTTTACAATTAACTGAAATATTAAAGATGCCTTTTGAAGGTCAAACTATATTTTTTCTTAAAAACGCTTAAGTTAATATTCTACATGTTCAATCAGGTCCCTACTTATTTTCACCTAATAAATACTAATAAAAGAAGTATTTAATGCATTCATTTTAGAATTGAAATTGATTTAGCTTTAGAGTAATAAAATTGTTTCAATAATAAATGACTTATATATGTATTATATATATATATATTTTAATATTGTACTTAATAAAAGCACTTAAAAAAGATAAATAAATTACCTACCCTTCATAAAAAATAAAACAAACAAACAATGAATAATCGCACTTCGTTGAGGTACGCACTGTACTGTGTACAAACACATACTGCAGTGCTTTTTGTCTAACCAACGAAGGAATATTGTTGCAAGTGTTAACAATATAATAGCAATGCATTTAAGATTCCTTAAGAAGGAGTAATAGAACGGACGCGTTGAGCTATCAAAACAATAGAGTAAGAACCTTGTTGAATTTAAATTAACCGCTTTGCTTTTAACAATAAACGGGCGGAAAAGAGAGGTGTATAACCAGTAAAAGACAGAGAATGCATGTTTTTTAACACACAGAGCACACATTACATCAAGATACTTTATACGCCTGAAGTATTGCTACTTTTATTTTTATAAATATTCACAGTTTGCTAATTTTGAGATTTTAATTACAATTTCTGTATTAATTTAATTCAATACCTACAGTACCCTAATTTTAATGCAAAAATCAATGAGTTTTCAAGTACATTATAGTATATGTTAGACTCAATTGCCGAATTCGCCTATTGGCCGAAATAAACACTCAGTTCTCGATATGATCAAAACCAAACGATCGGTTGCCGAAAATACGTTCTATTTCGGAATCTGTTTAAACTGATTTATTATACATATACATATATCTGAAAGAATAGTTACAGGTAATGGGTTTTGGAGAAAATGTACATTAGAAATTAGTTTCAGGTCAATAATATTTTCATTTTTTTATAATGTGCTAGTGTATTTACGCAATTTTTTTTCCTACAGTTGTTTCAAAATGAATTTATAACTGCGGAAGATATTCCATCAATGGCATGTTCAATCAGGCAAATTGCTGCTAAGGATTCATAAAATGTGATTACAAGAAACAATATCAAAGTAAAAAGTGCAAATGTGTTTCGTGCAATGTCAAGTGTAACAGTAAGTCTCATGCTGGTTCTTCCTGTTGCAATAAATTGATACCTAATGTCAAAATTTTTATTCGAGTTGTAAGCTGTTTCATAGAAATGAATATTGCTTTTCTTGATAAGTAGCATTTCTGTAATTTCATTCGAGGTTTGAGCATTACCGAATTCATTAAAACTATAAACGACCATCTACCCAAATACTTATGTTAATATATACCCTAGGTTTTCGCTCCCCGCTATCATGAAACTGACCATTAGCCTTTGTGATCCCATTAGATATTAAATTGCCAAAATAAGGGGCTATTCACTAATTTCTTTTTTCTTTCCAATTTCATAGGGGTTTTGAAGGTTAGGTTATGGTATGTGTAAGTTGCCCTAACTAACTAACTAATTACAATATATAGGTTCATCATCATCATAAGGTCATTAGTCCTAAAACTGGTTGGACACGTATCTCCACTCTTTCCTATTCTAAGCTAATCTTCGCATTTCCCTAAAACTAGAACAGCCCACATCTTTAACTATTTGCGAACAGTAATCTAACCTAGGTCTACCTCTAATCCTCCTAACTCATGTTTCTGCCTCTAATATGTCTCTGACTAGACCCTCATGTCTGAGAAGGTGTCCTACCAACCTATCTCGCCTATTTCTTATTGACTTTCATAAACTCCTCTGTTCTCCTACTCTTTCTAACACCTCTTCATTTCTAACCTTCTCTATCCATGGTATCCTCACCATTCGTCTGTAACACTTCATTTGGAACGCTTCTAACCTTTTCTTTTCCGTCGCGCCCACTGTCCATGTTTCGCACCCGTACAGCGCCGTGTTCCAATACATTTAACAACCTTGTTTGAATTTCTAATATATAAGTTATATTATCAATATAAGATTGCGTGTACTTTAAAAAACCGTTGAGAAAATTTCGTAAAATAGTGGACAACGCACGATCGTTACGAATTCAAATATAACTTAAAAAAATATTGTTTTATTCAGTTTGCTTCTGCATATCTACTGTTAATTTCATTGTCAATTTTATGATAAATGACCTTGTCAAACCTCATTCTTAATATTTTATTACTTGAGTGGCGTAACTGGAGTTAATGAACCCCACAGTTTGACACATTCCTATGCCAAAAAGTACCAATAAACTGGTAAAAATTAAACACACTCTAGCCTGGAGCTGCTCAGGACGGCGTTTGTCTATTTATCGATATGATATGATTCCACTTCCCGCCACGGTCAGTAGTAATACTAGGTAAAACCTTAATGATAGTATTATTCCCAGTACAAGTTACGGTAGGAAAAGACAATACGAACGAAGCGAGTGTTGTCGTCGTCACGTATTTCCTTTTGTTTGTACATCGCATTGTAATCTCAACTACTTATATAATAGGTATTTCTTAGGGGCGGAATCGTATCCTGTCCCTGTTTATGCCACTGTATTACGTAAAAAATTTTGTATTGGTTTGCACTATTAACATTTTTTTAAGTGCACAACTGAGGTAAAGCATAAATAACTATATATAAACAATTATGCTATATAATAAATGTCAATACCTAGGCCAATATTGTGTATAAAATGTCAGTTCCGTCTTTTACAACGCCTAAAAACATTTGATTACTGATGTACTCACAATCAGTTAAATCGCATTCGTACGTGTTCCAATAATTCCAATTTAAATGCAGACATACCAGTAACATGGTAACCTCTTTAATCTCACTTCATTTTCGTATTCTATTCATGACAGTGAAAAAGGCAATTACTTACCGTTAATTTATGATTAACTTAATATTTTGGTAAGAGTTTGGATTCAATATTTCTGATGTTCAAAAAGCATATTTGTTTCATGAAATATTTATAAATTTTACTAATGTATTATTTCCTCAATACTTAATTGCTATGCTTTGCCAAACTTTATTTTCATTGGACTTAAATTTGGTACTAAGCGGATTGCTATGAAATGATTTTTCATCAAGTCATCGTATGAGTAAAAATGCATAATTCGGCGAATAAACCTGTGGAATATACTTTTTCAACCACATCAATCTAAAAATATCGTCTGCTTTTCCAAAAAGTTTCCTAAACTACGGAACTCAATTCTCAAAATCTTTTAAACAAAAATCATCCCACAAAATCTCTAAATTGCATTTATTGTACTTATTAAAATATTTTATTATTTATATAAAAAAATGGCTGAAGGCATACTAATTTCTTCTATTCCACGTCATATTTTCCAAAAGATGATGCCGCCGTTTGTGATTGCATGTACCTGTCCTGTAACAGAAAATCTGACACGA